CAAACAGAAACCAAAGCAAGGCAAATAATTTTCCTTTCTATGTCATCCTGCTGTTGAAGGGATGAGAACATGAGGGAAGAAGTCTTTGCTCTGTGCCATACTTCTCCACATTCACCTTGTTGTCAGGGTGCAGTGCAGGGAGTTATGGCAGGGTCTGAGGGTCAGCACCATCCCACTGTCCCCAGCCAGGGAGCAGGTAGGCTTGGGGCACATGCAGGAGCACCACCAGCCCTGGCCATCAGGCACCTGTGTTGAGCAGGATCTCACACCCGTGGGCATGTTTGTGTCCTAGTGGCTGCCATCCTCCAGCACAGGGATGGGTCCCAGCAAGCCAGACAGGTGGGGACTGACAAGAGACAAGGACCAAGTTTCCTCTCTTGAGAATGCGACATGGCATGAGCGAGGGTGTAGCAGGTGAGTTTTTGTGCTTTCCAGCTAGAGTAATTTCCCTACTGGAAATAGTTAACTTTGGAAAGCAGGAAGCTGATAGCCTGTCTTCTGCCAGTTATGCTACCAAAAACCATTTTCCTTCACCAAATATTTGTCCCAGGAAATGAGGGATAAACAAGGACCACAGGATGAGCTGGACCTTGCCAATAATGTCCTATTTCCAACCCCACTAGGAATGCCCTGTGTGACGAAGGCTGGTCCTGGACGGTCAGGATGGATGGAGACGAGTGATCTCTGGAGTAAGGTCTTAGGATATACGGTTTATTGTGGGGCCCTGCTCAGGGCTGCCAGCCACAGCTCGAAGCAGGCCCCAAGGAGAGGGGGCAGGGTGAGATAGTGAGAGAGTTCCAAGAGAGGGTCCAAGAGGGCGGAGAGAAGGGGGAGAGCAAGAGGGTGCAGGAGAAGGGGCTGGAGCAAGGGGCAGGAGACAGAGAGTCTGGTCTCCCAGGAACACCTTATCAAGGGGGTTTCAGAGGCGGGTGCAGAATAGGACTTTGGACCAATGGGATTACAGATACATGGTACTTCAGGGGACGGTTACAGGCATGGAATAAACTATACATTGTTGAGGAATGAGACAGAACATTTTATCTGACCTTTGGATCTGTCCGTGGGTCAAAAAAGGGAGTTACCTTCTACTGGTGGACACCACAGTCCACTAGTTGCTTAGCAACCAAGGTCCGAAATCTCAAAGCTTGTTCTCATCTCAATTTCACTCACAGTCTCTGTATTTTCCAAATCCTTTGCTAAGCAATCATATCTATAAGACTTTCTCATTTCATCTTCCCCAACAGCCCTGCAGATACCAACACCTCTCAGAGTGCTTGATGGGCACTTGAAAGACAAGTGCTTAACATCTGTTGTGTCTTTTGTTGTGTGAGTCTCGTCATTCTGAACTAGGGTGTTGATTCAACTTTAAGTGATCATATCCAGTCAAGAAACATCTCTGCAGGCACACTTTTCTAGGGCATGTCGTAGCCTGTGGCTCTCTTGTGTAACTTTCAGACTATGCTAAGCCATGTTTCAAGCCTCTGGGAATTTGTCTCTGGAGGAAGCAGCTTGCCTTCAGCTGCCAGCTCTCACAGCTACCCACTGACCCTGATGGAACAGGCAGCTTCCTGGGCACGTGCCAAGTGAACTGGCACCAGTCTGTTAGCAGGAGTGAGTTTTCTGTGGGCATGCCAGAAATCAGGGGCTGATCAAGAGGAATGGTGCAGGATGCAGGAAAGAAAAAGGCCAAACTTCTCTAAGTCTGAACCATCGCATTTGGCTTTGCTGTGGTTTTAGCCTGGGGCCCTTTCTAGGTCAAATCCAGTGATCCCAGCATGTCCACAAGGAACTGTCCAAACAAGAGAAGTCCCCTTTAAGGTGACTGCCAGCAGTGAACAAGTGGGCTCTGGAGGTCAAGACATCTGCCTGTGTCCAGCGCCTCCTTCAGCTCCCAGTGGGCTTTCTCACCAGCTGCTGGTCTGAGCATGCCCTCCGTGGGTGGTGCTTTCACGTATGATTTAGTGAGGAGATCCTGCAGGAAACACAGGCAGAGCTGGGTGCACGGTGGCTTTGGTGGCCTTTCTCAGGGACACAAGCACATCTGGATGGGGAAGCACACTCTGCCTTCGCTGGACTGAGATGTGCTTGTTGTTCCAAGCAGATGCCATTTGGATGCACACTCACAACAAGGACCAGAACTACAGCTGTTATTTCTGGCTGTGAAGGGTTGTCTCCCTGGATCTGCCTTCCAAAGAGGTGGCACAGGTTGGAACAAATGTGAGTTAATTTAGCGATCAGGACAAAATCCCTGTAATTGGAATATTTGGGTCATTCTCTCCTATATTACTACTGATTATTGCTTTTTTTGGGATGAATATCTAGGAAGCAGAAAAATGCATTCCTATAAAAACAGCAAACAAATAAATGGGCTGAAATTCTGTGAAACTATAAATGGAATTAGCATTGCTTCTGAGAATTTGGAGACATGACACAAAAGACAGGAACATTTATTCTGTCCACAGAAGATGCAGCTTGAATAGGGGCTGTCCTTGTCTCTGAACACAATGTCTGAATTATTTAGTACCTGGCATTTCTGTTCCAGCAATAGATGCACTCAGAACTCGTCTTGTCGGCTTTTACTTTCTTTTCTTTCATTCTATCTTAAACAGACTTGTAATTGCTACTATGTATTATTTATTGGAAATACTATGCTTTTGTAATATAGCTGTGGGTGGAACGGGCTCTGTAGGCACAGTTTGCACCCTGTATTTGGAATAATTGTTAGGAAGAAAGAAAATTGGTTCAATAAGTAGGATATAAGCATGTAAAAAAAAAAAAAGAACATAGAGTTTCCTGTATTTGCCCATGAATTACTGTATTCTGGGCCATAGAAAACCTGAAGGGAACCATCAGTAAAGCTGTGCTTAGTTGCATCCTTTATTCTGGCTTTATTTCTTCCTTTTCCTTTTTCCTTTTCCCCTTTCCCTTTCTTTTTCTTTTTTCTTTTTTTTTTTTTTTTTTTTTTTTTTTGTTTTTTTTAGAAGAAGCCTTCTTCTGTTGCATGTAAGGGAGTGTAATCAAAGACTCCATCACATTATATTTCAAATGCTCAATTATTCACTGAATGGTGGAATATCCACCCCTCCACCCCTGCTTCCTGTACCTATATTTCAATTTGGTAGGATTTATGGTACTATAAATGTCTGGTCAGATGAAACAGATGTGTGTCACTGCTGCCTGCCAAGTCTCAGAGAGGGTGAGCAGCAGTAAAGGCAGGAGAAACATGAAAAAATCAAGACACAATTTACTTGATCCACTGTTACATCTAAAAATACCAGCTGTACTGATCTTAAAGGACAATGAAATATGGGAAGGTTATTCCACAACAGTGAACAAGCAGACCAAGGATTTATTTTAAAAAGTGAAGAACATGGATGAAAGGATAACCCTCGGGCAAAAACACACACTTTGGGTGTGCAAGCAGTGCCCTGAAGGGCCAGAATCCACTGCACATTACAGTTCTCTTTTCTTAACCACATCTAGGGAGCTTTCTGCCAACTTTGCATTTACAGACTTGTTTTAGAAAAGATCATACATGAACACACGCTGCACAATTTTATTGTTGAATCTTGAGGAAAAAAAGGCTTATGAAAGTCCTGATCACTGTGTTCCAATATTCAAAGTGTGGTTACAAAGAAGATAGAGAATCCCTTTTTATAAGGAGTCTATGGAAAAAAATGAGCATTAATAGGTACAATTTACTCCTGGGGAGATTCTGATTGTGCACAAGGGGATAACTTTTCACAATGAGAACCATCCACCATTGGAATAATCTCTCCAGGGAAGTGGTGTATTCCCCAGCACCCAGTGACACTAAAGATTTGGCTAGAGAAGGTGCTGAGCTTCTTTTAGACCATCCTTTTGCCTTGAAAGGTTGGTTGGACCAGCTGATACGCAAGGTCCTTCCAACCTGGTATTCCACAATTGTTAAAACCCATCTTACATAACCACAAGCTGTATAAATCTTGTGGAGGCTCTTGGTACCAACCAGCTCTGTGGGTTAACAATGGGAGAGACATTTATCACAGAGGTATCTTGCAAAATGTGGTCTGTTTTACACCCCTTGCAATCCCATGCAGCCTAAGTGGGCTGGAATCCTTGTGTTCTTTTTTTTCTCATGCATCTTCCTTTCTGTAAAAGATGGAAAACTCAAATATCTTGCCCCCAGAGGAAGAAATATGCCTCTCAGTGACCAACTGACCAGACAGTCCCTTCCACATGCTGTGCTGAACTTCATCCCCAGGAATGCTTGTGACGTGGAGCTGTCATGTGGAATTATTGCTGAGGAAACTGCATCTTCGACAGATGTGTTAAAAATTCCCCTGTGGGCCTAGGGAAGCAGGGGTAAATCCCATTTATTTCTCAGATAAAGCTGGCTAGAGAGCAGCTCTGCCTTACTGCCGTGATGTGACCTCTGCACACCTCTGAGCAGCCCCTTAGGAGCAAAACCCAACCAATAAAGAAGGGAAATAAATACTGGCTTTGCTGGGAATCTGCTGGCTGTCATCAGCTGCTCCTGCACAAGCGAGTCTGGGAGTTGTTTCAGCAGAACACTTTTGCCTCTGGCATGTAAAGTGCAAGGGGTACTTTCTTATTAAACAGTTCTCTGTTCTTTTAAGGGATTTTTGCACCCCTGCAGCCACAGAGGACTGACTTTGCTTTACTTAAAAAAGTTAAAATGTTGTAAATACTTTGATGTAAAGAGTTTTATGGATTTTTGCTGTAGGAATGGCATTTTGACTCATTGTATTCCAGTGAGACATTAAGAAAACATGCTTGTGTGCATTTTTTAAATTGCTGTTGTTACCATTTGCACAAAGGGCAGTAAAAGCTGATGATATAGTGATTTGTTTTGTACTTTTTAATGTAAGACTGGCAGAAAAATAATCTTGTTGCTCAAGAGGCTTTAAATCCCCACCCTTGAGCTGTGATTCAGCAAATTCCTGGAGTAACCCTGGTCTGAAGCCCGGGTTCCTCCTTGTCCTATCCTGCCAGGGGTGGATTTCTCCTAGACAAGCCAATGAACAGAAGCTTATTTATTTATGTATGTGGTGAGGAGGAAACTTACTCCACAGTCTCCCCACCTCTTCCTGCAAAATGTTAGCTCTCTTTTGCACCAATCTCTTTGGATCCTGAATGAAAAGGAGCGGCAGCGGAGCTGGGGTGTAGAAACTGCTGTAGTGAACATCACTCCCCGGCTCTGCTGCGCCCCTCATACATAATCGCTCTCACCTCGTTTCAGCTACAGAGAGAAGCAGAAGGCGCTGCCCGCATCTTCCTTCAGCAAACCGAGGGTGCTCTTTCGGAGAGGCAGGGCCGAGCCCTCTGTTAATGACTGACATCATCGAGGAAATACGCTTGCTTGCTATTTATTTTTGGCTGCATTTCCCCCCTGCCCTCCCCCCGGCAGTATCTTGATGGGGAAGCTGATCTCCAAAGGCTGGAGGAAAAGAGATGCGCGAGTTATCATGCTGGGGCTCGACTTTGCCGGCAAATCCACCCTTCTGTACAAACTGAAGAGCGGCCAAGCTGTGGAGACCTGCCCCACGGTGGGATTCAACGTGGAGTCTCTGAAAACACCCTGTGGCATATCCTTCACCCTCTGGGATGTCGGCGGACAAGACAGCCTGCGGGCCAGCTGGCCTAACTACCTGGAGGACATCGACACCCTCATCTTCGTGCTTGACAGCACGGACACGGCCCGGCTGGCTGAAGCAGTGGCAGCACTGGAGGAGGCCCTGAGCCACCCCGGCATGGCTGGCATCCCTGTGCTCCTGCTGGCCAACAAGCAGGACGCGCCGGGAGCGCTGGCTCCAGCCGAGCTGGGGGAGATGCTGCAGCTGGGGGGGCTGGCAAGGCACCACTGGATGCTCCGGGGGTGCAGTGCCCACACTGGCCAGGGCCTGCAAGAAGTCCTGGCCATCCTGGGAATGCTGCTGCGGGGCTCAGAGCAGAGCTCCCTGTCCCAGGAGCAGCCCATCATGGGGCTGGCAGAAAGAAGGCAAGCTCCAGAGCAAACCTGAACCTCACATGGACCCCTCCCTCTCATGGCTGCCAGCAGGCTTGTCATGGAGGATTCCAGCCTCCAGGCAGCCCTACAAGGAGCAGAGCTGCAGCTGGCACACTCTGTGAAACACCCAGCTCCTCACCACCAAAACCCAGCAGGAGGATCTCTGAGCAAACTCCCATCATGGAGCAGGTTTGGCCACATCTCTTGGACTCTCATCTCTAGCTGCCGCTTGTCCCACTGTCACCATCTTCCACTCATCCACTGCACTTGTGTGTCCAGAGGTCCAGCAAGGATGCTTTTTAACATTTAAGAATTATAACAGAGATGTGTGCAAAGAACAGAAGTTTTCTTCATTCTGCAGCTCTCAGCCCAGATACATCTATCCAGATGGGATGATCCCCACAAGGGGGGAGCTTGGATGTGCCCCATTCTGCTTGTCTCTCAGCATGGATCACATGTTCATTGGCTGGGAACACAGGAAGGCACTGAAAAGAATGGCTGAATGGGAGCAGTGTAAACTCAGGACATCAAATGGCCAAGCAACTGATTGGTTTTAGTGTGGCATCTCCAGGTATAATAATCTTAAAACCATGGAAGCAAGCCGGGATTTGATGGTGTAATGCAGTTTGAGGATGTATGTATATTAATTTATGCATTTCTTGTAATGGTTCTTTATGTCTCCATCATTTTTATCAAAGAATTATTTCAAGACAATGGTCCCTCATTTTCTTTGGACTATGTTTAAATATAAAGAAATCAGATGTGACTTTAAGATGCTTGGAAATACATCTCCATGGCACCTCTAAATATTCTCATGGTGGCCTGAACAGACAAAAGAAATCCCTGGTGACTTTTGAAACTGTATGACACCACTCCACATGCATTGGTTGGTAACCATTGGCACCTATGGACACAGACAAGTTTGGTGACCAAAGGTGTCTCCAACCTCAGCTGTGTCCAGGGCAAATGAAAATGCTCCTGGCAGCTCACAACAGTACAAGGTACCATGTGGCAGGTCAAATCTTGTTCAACCTACCATTGGAAAGACCTATAAAATGGGTATCCAAGATTCTGTTATCCAGAGTTAAAATTAAAATATTTCATAGTAGTCTCTGCTTCATTATGAAATGAATGGGGGAAGGGGAGGGATAGGATACAACATTTTTATTTCTATTTTCCATTTCTGTTTCTATTCAGAAATGAGCTGCTTTCAAGGAATGGCATACTCAGCCTAGAAACACCAAGGAGAAATACACAGCAAAATCCCCCTCTGTTCATACCAGATCATTTTACAGTTGTTAAGGAATTAATTGTCCAGCTGGTCCTGGTGCTGTTATTAACCACACTTCATAGAAGGCAGCAGCTGGAATAGAGAGCTCAAACTGTCACGAAGAAACAGAAGCAGACATTTATAGTAAAGTCTCAATAAAAGAATCCTTCCCAACTGTTTTAGCTGCATTAATGTAGAACTACTGTGTGTTATAAAACAGTGCTGCAGCATCGATGTGGCCTAAGCAATCACAGTTATGAGTTTTTTTAAACAGCACTGAACCATATAATTAATTCCATGACCTGTGTACATGGTGAGGAGGACAAAATCACGTCTTCAAATCTTTGCAGGTGACATTAGCTGGTTGATCTACCTCCAGCTTGTTGCAGGTGGTAATTTTTTGTCTCTAGCACGCAAGGCTCCAACACATCTGTTGGCCATTTTGGACACGAGTTCTAGAGGCACAACATGAAAGGCTCCATGCTACATTGCCATGCCAAAAAAAATTGTCCTTGTTGAGTTTGCTGGTGTTTTGGTCTTGTGTCTAACATGGCACAAAACAGAGAATTGTGCATCAAGGTAAATTCAACAGAGACTAAAAGGCTGTTGTGGTGATGTCTTGCTCCTAAGTGCCCCTTGATACCTGCATTTGACTCTAGGGCATTGTCTGCTAGTAGTTAAAAGAGGCACTGAAGCCTTCCTATTTTCCTCTGAGTGTTTTTTAAGCTCTTCTAAAAGATAAAAAATAGGCTCCTCTGGCAGCAAATAGAGGTAACCACCAGCCTTTGGCAGACATCATGAATTAAAAATGAAAACAGCAAGGTGGGAGGTGGGAAAGAAAGGGCAATGGGAATCCTGAGGGTTTGAAACTGGTGAAGCAACATTCCAGTTACTGAAATTGTTCTCACTTCCCCTGAAGCAGTAATTTGGCAAAACACCCCATCTCATGGGGCATCATGTGATTTACCATCCTTGTTTTCTGGAAGAAGGCTTTTCTGGACATTTGGTCACATTACTCAGCCATTGTTCAGAGACTGTCAGAGCAATAATGGGTCATAATATTTGAAATAGCAACACAGAGTTTACTTCTGATGATGTCTCTTTTTCTCCTGTGTTGGACAGCTGCTAAAACAAGTCAGTCTAATGAGCACTGCACTGCTCTAATCCAAGGCTTGCAGGACGCTCACCCAAGAGCACTTAAATGTTTCGGTGTCAAACTGGTTCAAAGGGAGCAGCATGGCAGTCTGCAGGAAGCAGCCAGCTCTAGGAGGAAGGTTTGTTACCTCTTTCCTGGCAATTCTGCAGGAGAGCTCCTGCCACATGGAGTGATATTAATCCCTAAATCACCTATCCTTATAGATTTCAGCCAGGAGGGCACCCTCAAACTTATTTTCCATCTTCCCAGGCATGTGATAGATGTCACAGTCTCCGCACTGATTTCTGAAAATAACACACCTTCTCTCTGAATAGCAGGTGAAAGAAAAATCCTTAGAATTTTGTTTCAGGCTCCTCACAAATTTGAAGCATCCTTCAGGTTATTTGTCCCAGAGCCCACTCTGGTTGCTCAAGACTCTTTTAGAAACTTTGCTGGTTGCACTCTGGTGTGTATTGACCTTTACAGTGACATAACCAGAATCCATAGTTGTGCATTAATCTTCCCAGCCACCCCCCGACTGAGATGAGCCATACAATCATCTACCCTTGCTTGGAGCTGTCACAGCAGCCTCCCTGCCCAGGTCTATCAGCAATTCCAGCCCCTGGGCCTCCCATCCCATCTCTGTTTTGCAGGGATCACTGCAGTGGGAGTTACCACCATGTCTTGCTGTTTTTTCAAGGACACCAAGACACTTCATTGCTCTTTCACACTGTTTATGGAAGGACATAGCTTATCCCTCACTGATTTACTAACTTTTCTGTGGGACTGGTTTTTAAAGCCGCTTCCTGATATGAACCCAGCACAGATTTATTTTTTAATTCTTATCAAGAAGTTTTCTATCCTACTCCAGAGAGCAGGAAAGCAGCAAACAAAAAAAAACCCCAAACAACCAACATTAAAACCAGGATGGACAATTAATCTTTCCCTTTTCACCAGCACAGGAAGGGTGACTCACCTTTTCCCTGCTCTCTTCACAGCTTCCATTTTTCAGCCAGTCCATGACACAAAACAGTATCTACTTGCACAGTAGCTGATTTCTGCTGCTGGCATTGTTGCTTTATTTTCAGATGGAGCTATGTGCCATTTGTCCTGCAGTTTCTGGTGAAGCTTCCCTGATGGGTTTCAGTATCGTTGAAAGTCCTGAGATCAGAGGGGAACCATGAGATCCCAGGGCTGCAGGGTGAGGGCATGGACAGTTGCCAAAAGTATTAAGAGGGAACAGACAGGCACAGAGTGCATGAGAGGGATCTGTGACCGGATGTAACGCAGGGAAGAGAGTGTTTGGGCAGCAGCCAGAGACCTGGAAAAGGGGAAGAAAGGTCAATAAGATTTTTTTTTAAAGGTTAAGAAGAGCTTTCCTTTCAAACACAATATGGAAAAAAATATTCCAATTCCCTTTTTTTGTTAGGAGACAGGCTGTATAATGCAGTGAAATGTCTTAATTTTTGCTTAATACGCCTCACACCTCTTCCTCTTGAAGAAACCCTGAAATATCACCTATGAAGATTCTTCACAGGTAATTTACCAACAAAAAACAAGGAGCAAAACCACGTGTGATGCTATCTCTCAAAAAAATCAAAACTGGTGCCAAACGGTATTAAAAGCCAGTCATGCAATAATGATTAAGACAAATTACAAACTACTGTTCAATACATCACAGGCTTCAAAGGGCTCATTAACTGGCCTTCATTTAAGCTTTCCCACACTGGATTTTTTCATTATGCATTTGCTTGAGTCGAAGCCCTGAGTCTGCCATCTGGATATTACTAAAAATGCCAGGTGATGGCTGGGATTTGGGTTAGGAACTCAGCGATGCATCCATAGCCGGGAGTGCATCATCCCCACATCTCATACTTCACACAGTGTGACTTGCATAAAATTCCTGCCAAAAGGGGAAAAAATAATTTAACCAACTGCTGTGACCCAGACCTGACAAGTGTGTCCCCCTCTGCCTGTGCTCCACCTGCCTCTCTGTGGCCTGAGCAGAAGCACAAACCTCTGCTCCAACCCAACCTGGACACTTCTCCTCTCCAAAGTTCTAATGCTTTAAGGCAGACCAGCACTGTCTATGTCTTGTCTGCTAATTGCTGTGAGAAACAATCTCCCTGGAGCTCCTAGAGCTGACAAACTGTTCTTTAATTCTCCCTTACACCTCAGATTTTTTTTAGGATTTTTTTGGTTTGTGCTGGCTAAATACATTTGGATATGTTAATGGGTTTTTTTTTTCGAACAGGCCACAATCACTTGTACCAAAAAAACCCTGCTTGGTGAACAGCGGCTCTGCAGCAAAGCTTGCCTTGGGCATAAGATAAATATTTGCTTTTTAATCAAACAGCGTAGGGTTACAAAGCCACTGGTTTCTGCAGAGAGACAAACAAAATCACATTATTAAACCATGTGATGTTTGATAATGGCGGGAAAGGTCTTTGGAAAGACCAGACTGGGGGTTTCCTGGGGAAGAAATATATCAGCTGGGAGGAGAGTTGTGGCCAACATTTCCTGCGGGACTGGGGGACAGTCTGTTCTGCTTATAAAAACACAAAATTTACACCTCATGATTTTCTGGCTTTTGACATCCCTTAACAGTAGTCCTTTTGTTTAATAATGGTGTAATGAAGACCAGTGCTAAAAGTCCACCCTTCAATACAGGCAGTATTTTCAGAGATGTGAGGTTTGGGTCAGTGCAGGGGTTCAGCAGTGCACCAGCTGTAAGGTGTCTGCACAGCGTGCCTCGGGGTGGAGCTTGCACAAGGATGGAGAAGTAGCTTCTCCCTGTTCCTTGGGGAAGGCCGATACAGAGGCAAAACATGATAGATCATTCCTGAGGATGCTCCTTTTCTGCATGATAGCAAAACAAGGGAAACTCAGCCAGGAAGAGCAGATTTTGGACTGAAAACATGGGAAAATAATCCTGAGTCTCCAGAGCTGCCCTGGGAAGAATGGGCAGGATGTCCACTGTGCTCCTGAGAAAAAGTAGGTCTGCAAAGACAGTGCCTGGGAATGGTTGGGAGGGTGGGGGACATGTCCTGCTGGAGATGGCTGCAGGCAACCACAGGCCTTCAGGTGGTACAGGCAATTTAGCCTGGCAGGAAGGTGCTGATTTAACTCCTTGGTTTCCCCAGGCTTTCCCCCTTGGAGAGACCTTTATTCTCCTGTATTTACACCCTGGGAAGAAGCACTTGTGATTTACTTCAATGAGATTCATTCTATCTTAAATAAAAAAATCCAGACTCTATAATTTTGTTCTTTTCTGCACCCTACCTTTCTTCCACACCACTAAAACCCCCACATTGCTATCTGTTCCCCCAGCATCATCAGCAGAGGTACAAATGACCTTACTGTACCCTCTCCAGCAGAGCTGAAGACCCTATTGGCTGCCTCCACTGCTTGCATGGGAGTTCCTGGGCTACTGGAGGCAGAAAAATCGCTGGAAAACAGATCCTTAGAAGATTAATTATCTGGGAAAGATGAGGGCCTCGACCAGAGAGAGAGGCTGAAAATGCCACAGAATGGCTTCTGACAGGCTGTGCCTTCCTGTGCCCTCAGGGCTGGCCCTAGCTCACCCTGCTCTTGCCTGTCACTTGGATCAGCAGCCTCTCCACGGCCACGCAGGAGCATCTCACAGTCTCTGCCAACTTCCTTCCAGGAGATGCATCCTCACTGAATTAGTTCAGTCTCTTTG